TTATTAATCAAACTCAATTTTGAACGTTTACATAATAACGGGTAAAGCTGTCGAAACGTAATTTGGAATTTAGTTTTTAGCGCTTCTATATGGTTCCGCCAAGTCATCCCTTTGTCCAGAATGACACCGAGATACTTAGCGGAGGATTCCCATGGTATACGAAGTCCATTCATTGAAACTTCAGTCGGAACGCCGCGACGTCTTTTTGTACAGTAGATTGCCTGCGTTTTCGAATGGTTAATTTTAACTAGCCACCGATCCGCCCAATCTATTACTTCCTCCACCGCACTTTGCAGACGGTCATGGACTAGGTCACCAGACCACGACTGAGCCACCAATGCAGTATCGTCAGCATAGAAATAGACTTCACAGTTGCTGGGGCTAGGGACGTCATTGATGTACAGTGAGTAAAGGATAGGTCCAAGGACCGAACCCTGAGGGACGCCGGCTGTAATCAGCGGTGTTGTCGACAGGACATTTTCAATTTTGATCCGAAATTTACTACCTTCAAGGAAGGATTTCAGTAGTTTTAGAAGCGAAAAAGGGAAGCCCTTCTAGATTAGTTTACAAGGGATGTCTTTTAAGTTGTGCATATAGAAGCATAGTCGGCCGCGCGGACCGAACGTCAGTACTGCATCTTAACCTCACTCTTTAGTAAACTTAAATTCAAAGTTTCACAACAATACGTGCAGTGTTCTCACTACAGTGAATTTTTAAGTGTCACCAAGTCATTAGAAAAATGGAACTCAACCGAGAACATTTCCGCACCATAATTTATTACAACTTTCAGAGACAATTATCGCAACAAGAATGCCTTGCTGAGTCACTGTCTGTTTTCGGCAACGAAGCGCCACATCAGTCGACAATTTCCCGTTGGTATGGAGACTTCAAACGTGGAAGGGTGAGTCTTAGCGACGATCCCAGGGTGGGTGCACCAAAAACGGCAGTTACCCAGGAAAACGTCGATGCTGTGCGCAAACTCGTCATTGAAGATATACATGTGACATATCGCGAGATTGAGGCGTCCTTGAAGATCTTAAAGACCGCAATTCAAAAAATGTTACATGAAGAATTAGGAATAAGAAAATTATTTTCTCGTTGGATACCCCACCTGTTGACTGAAGAGCAGAAAGCAGCCAGGGTTAATTGGTGTCAAAAAACGCTTGATCGTTTCAATTCCGGAAACTCAAAAAATGTGTACAGCATTGTTAGTGGTGATGAATCGTGGATTTACTGTTATGAACCAGAAAATAAACGACAGTCGGGTGTTCGGATGTTCCAAGGTAAAGAAAAGCCAACAAAAGTCATCCGTTCTCGAAGTGGTTCGAAAAAGATGGTCGCGATATTTGTGTCAAAAGCGGGTCATATTGCAACAATTCCTCTTAATGAGCAAAGAACTGTTACTGCGAATTGGTATACCACCATTTGTTTGCCAAAAGTCATCACCGAGCTTCGAAAAATCAACCTAGAAAGAAGAATCATCCTCCATCAAGACAATGCAAGCTCGCACACAGCCCAAAAAACAAGACAGTATTTAACGGAGGAACACGTGGAATTATTGGACCATCCTCCATATAGTCCCGATCTAAGTCCTAACGATTTCTTTACTTTCGCGAAAATTAAAAACAGACTGCGTGGTCAAAGGTTCCAGTCACCAGAAGAAGCAGTTGACGCATTCAAAACTGCTGTTTTGGATCTGCCAGCAAACGAGTGGAATAAGTGCTTCGGAAATTGGTTCGAACGCATGCAGATGTGTATTAATCTTCGTGGAGAATACTTCGAAAAACAATAAAGCCATTTAAAACTACCTACCGTGTTGTTTTATTTCCATATGCAAAACTTAAAAGGCATCCCTCGTATACAGGAAGCCCGCGTGACACACCTTGTCAAATGCTTTTGAGACATCCAAAAGCAAGATGCCAGTACTTTCGTTAAGGGTGAATCCTCTGGTTACTCGTTCCACCAGCCTAACCGCCTGTAGCTCCGCACTATGTTTGGACCGAAAACCGAATTGCACGTCAGGAATCACATGGTGATCTGACGAGAAATTCTCAAGGTGACGTAGAATCACCTTTTCAGCGAGCTTAAACAGAGCTGAAAGCAGGCTAATGAGACGATAATCCTGGGGAAATATCGAACTAATCTTCTTTGGAATCATTATAACTTCAGCCGTCTTCCACGCGGATGGGAAGTACTGGGTCCTTAGCATGGCATTGACTATTGACACGAGATAAGTTAAGGACTTCCGCGAAAGCAGCTTCAGCGCCTTATTAGTGATTTGATCCTGCCCAGGTGCTTTATGCAGTTTAAGGTCTTTAATATGACCTTGAATCTCTGCTGAGGTGATCTCGGGAGATTGCGCTGATGTGCTAAGCAGATCTTCGGTTGAAGAAGCTTCTGAAGAAGAATCTTCTAATGAAGAAAAATCACCAACGGTAGCGCGACTGTCACTGATGCCAGGAAATATCGTAATAGCGAAAAATTTCGAAAGTCATATATTGTGTTTTAGAAATTATTTGACATGTATATCACGAAAAACCATGTCACTTATTTCTGTCTATCTGACAATAGGAGTGTCGATTTGGCATCTAATCCTTGGCCCGTCTATAACTTGGAAAGTATCGCGTGGATTTTGATGAAATTTTCACACAAGGTTACTACTGTGCCAAGGAGAGACAAAGCTTGTAGTTTTTGTTATTCGATGGTCAAAAAACGGAAAAAATCAAACCTCATTTTTTGACCTTGCAAAGACTCCTGCTCATTTTGGAAACTGGGGGGAAACTGCGGAGTAGAGATTATAGGGAGTGACAGAGGGCGTATCTCGTTTTTTGTTTGTGATAGTTTGCTAACCCCAATAATTGTAAACACCGATCACACACATATATTTTCCAATATATTTGTCATTGAGACTTTAGAATAGAATGATTTTCGGTACCCGCCTCGTTAATTGGGAAATAAATGTGTTCTTAGTCGCTGCCGCTGCGCTGGTGACTCGGCGACTGTGACTGTGTGTTTCGGTGGTATCGGGCGTACACATCGCCGTCCGATAGCTACAGTAATGGATAAAAGTATATAGACAAATTAATATTGTGCTGTATTTCTTTTTTAACTTGTTTTATTGACACACCAACCTGTATACATAATTCTTTATAGCATAACACTCACTTATACATAAATAAATTCATTAGACTCCCTTCAATAAAAAAATGAAAAAAATAGGAACTATGAAGGGCAAAAATATATAGACAAAGCAAAACAATTATAGAAAAAAGAAGCAAAGTTCATTGAATTATAGAAAATCAACTATGTTTGTGTTAATATTTTGTAGCATAACCATTATTATCAATCACCGCCTAGCATCGTCTCGGCATAGATTGTAGAAGTTTATTGATATAAGATTCATCAATCTGTCTCCACTTTTGCTCTAAAGCGGCAAAAAGTTCGTCCGTGTATAATATACTAATTTTTAACTCGTATTTGCTTATCTACGTATTCCCATAGATTTTCAATGGGGTTTATATCGGGAGACTGTGAGGGTCATTTGAGAACTGGAATTTTTTCTTCCAGAAAGAATGTCTTTGCGAGATTTGAAGTGTGCTTCGGGTCATTATCTTGCTGGAAGATTGATCTTAAGGGCGTATTGTCTTCCACATAGGGTAACATGACATGCTTTAGTATGTCTGTGTATATAAACTTATCCATAATGCCATCTATTCTATGTAAAGGTCCCATCCCAAACCCCGAAAAGCAGCCCCAAACCATAACAGACCCGCCTCCATGTTTGACAGTGGGCAAAGTGTACTTGGGGTTCAATCTTTGTCCACTAGGATGTCTAACGTAATGAACACCATCTGATCCAAACATATTGAACTTGGATTCGTCACTGAAACATACCCTCTTCCAGTCACAGATGCTGCAATCAAGATGCAACCGTGCAAATTGTAATCGGTCCTTACGGTTTTTCCTCGAGATTAGCGGCTTCTTACCCGGGCGACGTGCAAATAACTTCAAATCATTTAAAAACACTGACAATTCCTTTTTTCTCGATTTCAGCTTTTATTTGTCTTGGTGTTTTACGGATCTTTGTTTATATTTGTTCAATATTGCCCAAACTGCTTTACGCTTCAGCTCCAAATTTTTGGCAATGTCGACTTGACGTTGACCATCTTTGTATAACTCAATGATCTTAGTTTTCATATCGAAAGACATTTCTGGACCACGCGGCAATGTCCTAAAATCACTCAACTTATTCCACAATACTTGATGAACACAAACTAATCCTCTTCTGACACGGAACTGTACTTAACTAATGTTGAAAAGAATTTGTCTACATAATTCAGACTTGTATTGTGTTCATTGCATATAATGTAAAAACAAGAAAATTTACTTTTTCCACTAATAACGCATTTGTTTATGGATCAATGAAGTATGAATTCGTTTTCTAAAGGTGTTTAGGTAAATATTCATATTTGTCCATATACTTTTGTCCATTGCTGTACATATCGTTTTTCGAGCGTTTTCAGCGCGAAACTATGCAAGCATATACGAGTAGAAATAATTTGTTTAGATAAGTGTATTTTACATTTCTGATTGTCCGAAATGTCTTGCTGGAGGCAACTGGTTGTTTAGGCCTATTTGACCGACTTGATCTATTTAATTCATTCGTTCTTAGTTGACTTCTTCTTCTGAAAGCGGCTAACTTATGCCGAACATGTTTTTGTATTAACTAATGGTAGCGTTGTGAAGTGCAGAGTCAACCTACTTGACGCCATTTCTATCGAATATATTGATTTCTTTACGCTTGGAATTCGAAAGGGTCGCCCACTTCAAGAGATGAACGGTAACAATGCTTGTCGTAAAACACATAAGTAGTCGCAATAATCACATAACGCAAAGTCATTGTCCGGAGCTTTACTCGTACTGTTCGACCATTTGAGTTAAGCAGATGCAACCACTAACGACAACTGAAAATAGTCATAATGTTTGTTCATTTGTTTCAGTTGGCCGGGCATCAGCCGCCGCAAAGTGGTGACGAAAAGGGGGACCTCCATGAAGACCGTCCACATTTTTGATCAATGGGTCGCTCTCTGAGGACACGCGACTACATCCACTCCAGACCACCGGGCAGAAAAAAGATATCTATGTGAGTAATATTGAGGTAGTAACTAAGGTCCGACCAAGCGCGAATCCAGAGGGGGGGTCCTGTGGGTCATGACCCCCTCTTGATACTAACATTTGTGGCTTTCGAATCTGTTTGATAAATTCAACGACATAAGAACTTTTGCAAATATGTAATGGATACAAACGGGTGAAAAATTAGTAAGTTAGTGAAAAATCGCCACACCTGACAACCCTCATCAATTTCTAAGCTCATCGATGGGTTGCGTAAGTCTGGTTATATATACGTGCAGCTTGACGCAAAGATAAATAAAATAGTGATTCAACATTTTTTGGCTTCTTAGCACTGCATGCCTGTTAGTGCATTATTGGAAATTGAGCCTAATGTATTCTGTGATGAACGTCGTTAATTGAAAATTCAGAAATTCGGTCAGGAATATGAGAAAAAAACATTTTCGGCGTTTAACGCTGTGAGCAAATTTGATAAAAATATTTGACGGACAAAATAAGAGAAAAGTGGTTTTATTTGATTGAATGGAGATGGTTATTTAACCCTTAACCTATAAGCTCGTAAACTTCATATTTTGGACACTTTCGTTTTAATTCAGCATGATCCACTCGTTTTGCGAAACATCTCGTGATTCCGTAGAAGCAGCACCGGAAGGACACGTCGTTGGAATTCGGTTTTTCGGTTAGGTTTTGTTGCTTTTTTAAGAATGCGCAAGTCAACGAAAACTATTAACTCATCCAATTCGCCAGAAGCAGACTAGCTATAAACGCAATATGTATCTATGTTGCTAATTTTTGACTCCTTTTACAATAATGACTAGAAGATAATATTTTTGGAAATTGGAACTTGCCTCGTTAGTGTTGCCGGTTCCATCTACATCGATGTAATGCTGCGTGCCGTTGTTTCAAGAAACTTATTCACGTTTGATTTCGACAATATGAACCGTTTTTAAGAAAAATATATCCCTTGTTTTTCAGGTCGCTGATGATGGTCACCGTAGGTTAGTTTCTTGGCCGAATCCACGTTCTGCTTTGAACAAAACCTTTGCCCGAAGCCAAAGGTTGGCTCAGTCATATACAGGGTGGTCCATAAGTCCTTTGAAATTTAAAATTTGAATAAAATTTAACGGGTGAGCGTGAGCGGCGCGGGCGAGGTGGGGGCAGTATCTTCAGTGTCTGGGAATTCAGTCGCCATGGAGTGTTTCACTGGAGCGGATCGTGCTTTTTGTGTGCGCGCGTTTTATCAAAATAATGATTCGGCAACCATTGCGCGGCGTAAATATCGAGAATACCACAATTTACACAATTTTACAAAGTGTCCAACAGCTCAAACGATTAAGAACTGGATTGTTAAGTTCGAAGAGACTGGTTCGACGTTAGATAAACAGCGGTGGGGTCGACCAAGGACAACTCGTATTGAAGAAAACATCAACATTGTGTCACAGTCTGTTCGTCAAAATCCTACCCAGTCTCGTAAGCGTTCCAGTGCACTAAACGTACCCAGAACATCTTTACAGCGGATTTTAAGGAAAGATTTACGTCTGCACGCTTACAAAATTCAGTTAGTGCAGGAATTAAAAGATAATGACGCTATTCAGAGACTAAACTTTGCGAATGAAATGTTGAATCGATTTTCTTCGCTCAATAATGTGTTGTTCTCGGACGAGGCTCACTTCCATTTAAACGGACATGTAAATAAACAAAATTGCCGTTATTGGAGCCCCGAAAATCCAAGGCGTAAGCATCAGAAGCCCTTACACAGCCCTAAAGTTACAGTTTGGGCTGCTATGTCAGCGCATGGCATCGTAGGCCCTTATTTTTTTGAGGACGACAGAGGTCGCGCATTAACTGTTACTTCGGAGCGATATGTAGCAATGATAGAAGAGTTTTTGACACCAGCGTTGCAGAATTTTCCAGGCTATAATACGCAGACCTGGTTTCAACAGGACGGAGCAACTTCCCACACCTCCAACACTTCTATGCCCGTCGTCTGTCAACTTTTTCCCAGCAAAGTAATTTCTCGAAGAGGAGACATTTCCTGGCCACCACGTAGTCCAGATTTGATCCCAATGGACTTCTTTTTATGGGGCTACCTCAAGAGTAAAGTGTACGACACCACTCCGCGATCAGTTGATGTCCTGAAAGAAAATATCCGAAGAGAAATGGCAAGCATTACAGTGTTGATTGCCGCGCAGTCATCGATAATTTTAGACGTCGTTTATATGAGTGCTGTGATCGTAATGGATTGCATTTAGACGATGTGATTTTTAAAACATAATTCCCATTCAATAAAGGTGATAACAAGATATAATAATTCTTCATAATGTAACTAGTTTGGTTTTATTCCTTTTTTTCCAGCTCAAAGGACTTATGGGCCACCCTGTATAATGAACGTTTTTTGTCTGCTAATTTACTTTTTATAAGTAGAAATTACTGTTCAATGTAAAAGTTGAATCGACACTTAAATAAAACCTGGAGATAATTTGATTATTTTGTGTTTAAGTTACATTCAGATTGAAACATTAAAAACTCTAGATTTTTAGTATACTGGTAGGAAAGACACAGAAAATTTTAGAATTCGGATAATTCCAGAAATTGTACCTTCGTAGCGTAATGAATTAAGATCTTCATTGACATTGTTTACACAATCAAAATAGAAATTAAAGTTAGCTACACACTCATAGAATTACATTGGAAACCCCATTTGCTCGTATAATTTTATAACATTTCGTGTAAAATAATTTTGGCATAAAGCATCCAAGTGAAAGTTAGTACTACAATAAAGTAACCATATACAGGATGGCCAACTAAGAATGCGAGGTTTTGAACCTGGGAACCTATCCATCGCAGAGGCTTGCGGCAAAAATAGTTATTACTAAAACAGCAAAGAGAAAAACCTGGAAAATATTTTCAAGTTTCTGAAATGGCCGCCAGGGGGCATAACTGCAATGTTGAAACTAAAAATATGATGTGTCTGTGAATTCTGGTATATTAACCTAACAAAAAAAATTCTTGATCATACTTGATCTTCAAAGTCGAAGATAATGTGATCTTTTTTTTGACAGTTTTTCCTGTATCTCTAAAAATATATATACTAAGTGACATATAAATCCGAACACCCAGTTTAAATGGTTTTATTTTAATAAACGTTGGTGAATGTATTTATCTTACTGTAAATAACAAGTGAAAAAATTTTCAGCCTTATCAGTTGGACATTCCGGTTTTTATACTGCTTTTTTTTAATTCACTAATGCTCTAAAAATGAATATTTCAGCCGCAGTAAAGAATCAACGTTGGCGGATTTTGGTTCTTGACATCCTTTACGATCGGTTACGATGCCTAGAGTACGGAGATCTGTACGATCTGTACAACTTAGTGAGTTTGATAGGGGCCGTATAGTGGGACTTCGGGAAGCTGGACTTTCTTTTCGGGCTATTGCAGTTAGAGTGCAAAGAAGTGTAGACACTGTGGTTAGGTGTTGTCAGGCATGACTTCGAGAAGGCCGTACGCAAAGAGCAAGGGGCACTGGACGCCGCCGTAGAACAACAGACCGTGAAGATCGCCGCCTAAGATTATTGGCCTTAAGGGACCGTTTCTCCACTACCAGGTCCATTGCAAATAAATGGTTTGCAGAACACGGAAGACCTATTGGCATGCGAAGTGTTTACCGACGAATGAGAAGTTTTGGCTTGTTTTCATACCGGCCACACTGGGTCCTCCCTTTAACTCGAGAACATCGACGTAATCGCCTTGAGTGGTGCAGACAACGGTCACTCTGGGATCAGGAATTGAACAGTATTGTCTTTAGTGACGAGTCTCGATTTTGTTTAGGCATGCACGATGGTCGTGCCAGGGTTAGAAGGCGACGTGGTGAAAGGAGGAATCCACAGTTTTTTGTTGAAAGACATGTTCATCACACTGTTGGAGTTATGGTTTGGGGTGCTATAGCTTATGGTTCCAGGTCACCTTTAATCTTCATCAGAGGTAACATGAATGCGCAGCGTTATATCCACGAAGTTCTAGAACCCCATCTTTTACCCTATCTTGACACCCTGGCAGATCCAACTTTCCAACAAGATAATGCCCGACCACATGTTGCAAGAGTCACAATAGACTTCTTTCAACATAATGATGCCACATTGTTACCATGGCCACCAAGATCTCCCGACTTATCCCCAATTGAGCACGTGTGGGATATGATGGGTAGGAGATTGCTCAATTCGCAACGTCCTCATTAGACTCTAGAAGCACTTCGAGAGGAGTTGGTGGTTGCCTGGAATGAGATACCACAGGAGGACATTGACCACCTGATCAGAAGCATGCCTAGGCGCGTTGGAGAATGCGTAGCACATCAGGGTGCATCCACACATTATTAAAGGTCAAAGGGCTTTAAAGCAGTGCAATCATTTTGAAATTTTTATCATTTACTCATTATGCTTCAGTAAGTAAAATTTTATTAAAATAAAACCATTTAAACTGGGTGTTCGGATTTATATGTCACTTAGTATATAGACATTTAAACAAAAAATATGCCTTTTGTTATTAGCATTACGTACTTACCTTTTAGCGATATTATGTAATATTTTCAAAAAGGGTGATTCTATTCTGATGAATAAAAAGTAATTCCAGAAAAATTAGTATAAAAAAATAAAAAATTAAGGGATTTCCGTATAAAATTTTCTTTGACCTAAATTTTAGGTTAGGAACAAAATATCGAGATGTGGTTTTCGCGAGTTTGTTTAGACATCATTTAGCTACTTTTTCATAAAAAAAAATCATATCAATCCATTTAATATTTGTTTGAGAAAATTAACCATTTCTCTTCGGAATGTCGAAAAAAGCACTCTAGCGGCTACATGTGAAAATAACAAAATTTCAAATATTACAACATTGGTAACCCAAGAATAGCTCTTTTTAACTGGCTCAAGTTTGTTAAAATTGGGCTTAATCGTTTCGAAGATGCAGGGTGTTTTTACGGAAACCTTTGAATACTCCACACCACTTTATTTTTAGAGAAACAGCAAAAATTGTCAAACAAAAAAGTTCACATTATCCTCGACTAAAGATCATTTATTTTTTTTGTTAGTTTAACATAGCGGAATTCACAGAAACATCACATTTTTAGATTCAAGATTGCAGTTACGCCCCCTAGCGGGCATTTCAGAAACTTGAAAATATTTTCCGTTTTTATTCTCTTGGCCGTTTGCTGCAAGCATCTACGATGGATAGGTTCCCAGATACAGTACTCCTCATTCTTATGTGACCACCTGGTTTATCACTGTATTTTTTGACTGTGGAATAACGTCGAATTGAAGTGGACTTCAATTCATAATTATAAAATGAGTTGGACAAACAAACCCAGTAGATCGCCATAAGGTTTCAAAGCTAATCCTGAATCTTGACAATATTAAATGTCAGAGATAAAAAAAGCATAGCAAACATGCGTTCCTGTCCTACAGCATTAAATGTTTGACACTAGTACTACCAGGCTAACAGTTAATTTTAAGTACCTTATTTTCGGCAGGTATGAGTTGACTAAGAACCACTGGTCATATCAATACTCCACACATTTTTAAAGGTATTTCATCTGTTTCTTAATTCGATGACTTTGAGAGCCAGTGAAGGTTTTTTTGTCTCCTTATTCTCACAGTCTGTAGTAAGGATCAAGGTGCACATTCATTTTTCTGACAGTTCTGTTATTAAATCCATAGTTAGTGTTATTTTTTAAAAATGGCAGTGTTTGCAGATAATTGTGGTGTAAGACGATTTCAAGATATGCTATTTGCATAATTTTCAAACAGCAGCGCAAGCAAGGTAAATGTTTCTACCAGTAAGTACTATTATTATGTTGATACAACGCTGTCACTTTGATAGACATTGTCAAATCGGTCAAAAGTATCTAAAACCACGCAATTTTGGCGACAAACAATGCAATGTAAACATATAGGCTGGCTCCTAATCTATTCGAATTGTCAGGAAACTTTTACATACTTCCACCATTTTTTAAATCATTATTGATTGCACATTATATTTGTTCGAGTACTTTTCATTAACGAAAAATCACTTATATCGAGTGTACCGATGTCGCGTGGTCTAATAATTGAAATATTTGGTGTTCAAAAAGGAGCTTTTTGAGAAGTTTTGAAAAGTACCACAGATTTCGATGTGCTCTTTCTGAATGTTCACCTTGCTACCTCGTACCTATATTGGAAAAACGCCATCCAAATGTTTTATACAATGTCTCTCTTCAGTCCCACTTCACGATGAAAATTGCTATATGATAAACTAAAGAACAGTTCATACTATTATCTATTTTGCTTTCCTTATCTGATGAAAAGTGTTGACGTATGAGCGCAGCAAGCTTCTAAGTGTGTAACTTCAATGAGTATACGCGAAAACACTCATTTACAAAGTAGTTATGGACAATATTTGCTCCATTTACGTCACGACAATAGCCATAATTCGAATCAAATTTGAGATATGTTGAGATGAAGTATTTCATAAATTTTCACGTAATATATTTAGATTATTTTTATATTTGAACCTCCACTAAGGCCTAAACACCCGTGGGTGCCGTGGGGCTGAAGGGGGATACAGGGGAAAGGGGGGAGGGACGCCCATGCCAAATGCACACATTCTGGCTCTGCCTTAGAGATCTGCTGGGTTGTACCTCCACGTTCGATAGTCAGAGACAGTCTACGACCCAGGGAGAATCACAACATCCACAGCCAACATAAAAATTCTCTTGGACGGTCTTCGAAGCCGCGCAGCGCACGGCTACTGATTAGTAGCCTCATAACATCTACCGCTACTACATGGCAGCAAGTGAAACTTCAGCTTTGTTTATATTTTCTCAAGTGGCTAGAGAGATATACGGATGAGAGATACAAGCATCTAAGGTCCATTACAGAAATGCTGTCGATTGCCATAAATTTGCATAATTGGGTACTTTTTGATATAAAAGTGCTTTTTTGAGAATTCTTGCATAAGCGTACGGTGTATATTTTACCAAAGGATTCGATTTCATCAGAGTATTTTGACTAAACTTTGTGTCAAGTTGTTTGCCCTGTAGCTTGGTATGCGCGATATTTCAAAGTAGATCGATGGATCTGACGTATTATGGGAACGTAGAAATGATAAATTTTTTGTTCACAGACATCTGCTGTAGTCAGCAGCATCACCATCACCAAAATTGTGTCGTGGGAGGCGGGGGGCGGCAGCGGCGTACGCAGTACCATGTACGCCATCAACCGGAAGTACCTGCTGCTGAAGATAGCGCTGCTGGCGTGCGTCGCTTACGCGGCCGTGCATGTCATTCTGACAGCCGGTGGCACCGGAGCTGGAGACAATGCGGCCATGTCGGACGGACCGCCGTCGCTGTTGCGCGGCGAATCGCAGGAGGCGGGCCGGATGCTGGCTGCGCTCGAAGATGATTCGCAGGGAGACGCGGGGGCGGGGCTGCAGCTGTCGGTGGGCGGAGCTCCGCCAGAGACTACCAGAGCGGTGGCGGCGGCTGCGGCTAGACAGGCGGCAGTGCAGCAGGCCAAGGTATAGTATCGATACCGTTTATGCTTCTTATTGTATACAGGTTGTCCTGAATAATCCCATGAGAAAGAAGCCACAAACACAACTGGTGTGGTAATTCAGTTCCGGAAATTGGCTACCAACTTTGTAACATTCGTTAACGGAAACTTCTTTTTAGTTTCAATCCAAAGCTGAAGTCGATGGCAGGTTTCGTTCTTATCTGTAAATTTCTAGAGCAACTTTTTTAAAGGCATCTACTCACATTAAAAATAACATGTTGTGATGCAACTATTCTTAGAGAAATCTAGTGAAATTCTGTCACTGTTCGTGCCGACCTGTTTTCACGCACTGATCACGTCTAACCGACGCACAGTAGTCAAGAACACCCAAAAAGCTGGTAGAAAGTCAAAAAATGATATAATGAAAATGGATGAAATTCATCATGTATTTGAAAGTTGATACTTGGAACAACTAGTTAGCCATGAAAACAAAACCTTGTTTACACTACCTTTGCTATGACAAACTTGAAGTTTGTGGTAAATAATTTGTTATAACTTTTTTGTGGTGAAATTCATGACGTTCTACAGTATCCACCGTGTTGTGTTGTGTTTTGGAAAATCCGAGATATCTCAATATAGATTCTACTAAAGAAACTAAGATATTACATCTAATATACAGTGAAATTCATATACAACTGAAGCCGTAATGTATACGAGATAGAAGCGCGAGAGGCGAGTAATACGTGTGTTAGAAATAGATAGAAGTATCTCGTTGCCTAGCAACCCGAGTGATGAAGCCACAGACGCAGCTGCGGCTAGCACTCTTTCCAACATACACGTTGCACGCTTCTCGTGTTTCTCTTTCGTACGCATTACAACTTCAGCCAAAGCTGAACCTCACCGTATAATATGGGGTTGTCCAAAACGGACGCAGGAAAGTAAACGCATATTAAATCAAGAAAGATTGATAATCAAATCAAGTTGAGTACTTTATTTTGAAGGTTCATTTATACCATTTATGTATGAAAAATAATATCGCTCAAATGTTCACCACGACTGGATTTACAGACGTCCACGCGATGGTCGAAATGTTCAATGACATTTATCTCGGCAATGATGTTGTTTTTGAGTTCTTGGAGGGTGGCTGGTTTGTTGACGTAGACTTTGCTTTTCAAATATCCCCATAAAAAAAGTCCAAGGGAGTCAAATCGCACGATCTTGGTGGCCATGGCACATTTCCTCTGCGCGAAATCACGCGATCACCGAAGAAGGACTGAAATCGATGGATATTGACGTTGGTTGTGTGGCATGTTGCACCGTCTTGTTGGAAATAAACATCGTCCATATCCATTCCTTCAAGTTGCGGCAAAAAATAGTCCTCTATCATCACGTGATATCGCTCAGAATTGACGGTAACGGCGTCCCCGGCCGCATTTTCGAAAAAGTAAGGTCCGATGATGCCTTTTGACCACAATGCACACCACACAGTCACTTTTTGAGGATGCATCGGCTGCTCTTGATACTCACGGGGATTTTCGTTCGCCCAGATGCGGCAGTTTTGCTTGTTTACCGTCCCATTCAAAGTGAAATGCGCTTCGTCGCTGAACATGATTTTTGATGAAAAATTGGCATCAATTTGGCGTTGTTCAAGGAGCCAATCTGAGAACGGTCGGCCCGACGCAGCTCTTGCGTTAATTGGATCTTGTAGGCGTGTACATTCAAATCCTTCCGGTGTGCGAACGCTCCTTGGCCGGCCAGAGCCTGGCAGATTTGCCACAGAACCTGTTGCCTCGAATTTACGCACCAGACGACCGATGGTTGTTTCGTTTGGGCGGTTGTTGCGACCGAAATGTTCACGAAGCGCGCGAAACGTGTTTTTTATTTTTGCACCATTTTTGTAGTGCTCTTGAATAACTTTAATGCGGTCTTCAATCGAATACGACTCCATAGCGATCAATGGTAAACATTCAACTAACAAAATGACATGTCGGTGACAGAAAACAAAGATGGCGTCTATGTCAAATTGACGTTTACTTTCCTGCGTCCCTATTGGACAACCCATTAATGATGTGTCCTGATTGTTGTATTCATGCACACCTTGGCTTGATTGTATCATTACTTTTCTGGCACATTTTCTGTTACTATTATTTAGAAGGGTTTTTAACAAGGTTCCGCCCTTTGTTGCCATTGGGGTTAAGTATTTTCGAAAACCTTTAAGTAGTGCCAGATAAAATCTAAACTCAGATTTTGACAAGTTTCACAAAATCTTTAGAAAACCAACTATAATAAATGCCCGTACAGACCATTTTTATATTACGTTGTATTACTTTTAGATTCGGATTCTTTACATGTGGTGATTTGTTCAACATGCTGCATGGTTTTTCATAAAAGCATCTAGATAAACAGTTTCGTGAATTGAAAGCCAAAATTTTGAAAGAAACAGGTCACGAAAGGCTAAGTCATCAAAATCAATTACTAAAGACCGACCAAAATCTAGTCTCGCTGAAAGAATTAAAACATTGAAAACTTTCAAATTACGAACCAGCACAAGCGCTCACGAATTGACGTACGTAGCACAAATGAAATCAAGAGCAGTGGGAAATGTAAATGCTGCAAAATTAATCAAAGATCTATCTAACCTCAGATTCGTTCTTTCAGTTCAGTTCAGGTCGAGTTTTATAAAGTTTTTAAGCAGTGCTATAGAAATGTCATATTGCATTTTCTTGTTTATTATGCTTGAAATATATTATTTCTGTGTTTTTTAAAGCATCCTTCTTATTCGGCAATCACTATAATATTATGATCATCCTATCTCCTATCAAACATCACAATCAACTTATTTCAAAAATCCGACGCTATATTGTCTGCCATCTGTTTTTAACAGCAGCTTTTAAATCAGCGACCTCAAAAACCCTTCTATACCAAATTTTGCTACAGAAGTTGAATTTTTTGGACAGCTTTTTGGGTGTTCTAGACCACTGTGCGTCGCCTAAGCATTCGCGCATTGTCCTTGTCTTACGACTTAAACATCAAGAAAGAAAACGTTTGCAAGATGTTACCCAGGAAGTTGAAGAAGTGGAAGATTTTTGAAAAGATGGTGTCAAAAGATGTGTGCCAGTTTGGACAAACAGGCGTCGTCTCACCCATCCTGCAGCCCCGATGCCCAGGTCAAGGAAGCTGTAGACACTCTCACTAAAAGCAACTCAAAGGCAACTCCAACCTAGATTCACCTTCAGTCATGTTGCTTTTGTGTTTTTGTGTTTCTAAGCATTTACTTACTAATAAGAATGCGGAATATACGTAGCCTATTTTTATTCTTAAAAGCCTTGACTGAAAGAAAATTATACGCGAGTATGTAACCTAATTCACAAATAAAATGTAGTCAATCATTATGCAAATGATATTTTTCTACAGCATACACTCTCTCTTTCTCATTTGGAGGTCAAGTTTGCAAATTAAAATGGCAACCACCATTTTCATGCCGCGCTCGAGATTCTACATCGGGGTGCATTTTCATACCTGCAGTCATGTGATTCATACGGCATAATTGCTATTTGAATGTGTAACTTAACCTCCAAATGACCTCCGAGGTCATTATATAGGCCATATTTGAAGCTTTTAAAAAAAATGCGTGTAGCCAAGTTTCCGGGGTGCTCGGTATGGGTATTATGTAACTTTGAAAAGTGACAATAGGCAAGAATTTGTTGACATTACATATAGTCAACGCCAAACAAAGTGGCGTGCACGTCATCACGATAAAAATTCCCCGACCTAATGCCTAGGTTTCTATCACAAACAATTGCTCTATTGCAGTTTCATATTAATGTGATATATAAATTGTAAAATGGTCATTACTCTCTTATTATGGTTAATAGTCATATAAACATTGTTATTAAAATATCACATAAGTTGCTTTCTGATAAATTTAGACGCATTATGCGAAATAAAATGTTTTGCAAACGCTCCAATCACTTATCGACATGTAAACGCACTAAACCGATTTCGCAGCGTTGACACATTGTCACCTTGAAACTTATTTAAACTGGGAACTGACATTTGTATTAATTTTGACACTGAATCAATTTGTGGCATTTCAAATCTTTATAAATCCTTTGGCCCCGCATACTGTAAATCAACAACTGTTTGTTTCAAAACAAAATTATTCATTTTACGAGTAGATAAAGGCAATTTTGGTATATAAAGATGCCCAAACAGTTAAATAGTCGGTTTAAGGAACTCGTGGCCTCGTTAATGCACTACTTTGAGCAAGAAAGGGACAACAACGGGCCTTTGTTGCCTTTAAATGCTGTTCAAGAGGTAGGTTACTAATAATTATATGTAATGTCTATTAATAATAGTGAAATTTTATTTCATTTTTTGTAGCGTGTTGCTGCTGCTTTAAAAATTAGTTTAAGGACAGTTAGTCGTATTTCCGAGGGTGTGAAAAGTGATGCAAATTTAGAATCGCCCAAGAAAAAGCGGAGTTATATTAAACGTGTAACCAACACAGCGACATTGGATACAAGTGCCATTCGAGAAGTGATCTATAATATGTATCACAAAAGTAAGATCTTATTATAATAACTTATCAGAAATTTGCATTAATTTGTTAACTAAATTATAATGTCATATTACACATGGTTTCAGAAGAACAAGTTACGATACAAACTTTATGGTCTCGATTAAGAGATAGGGCATTATTTGATGGTAGTGCCACGTCTTTAAGGCGGTTGCTTAGAGATCTTGGATTTAAGTGGCTTAAGGACAATCCGCGACGAGGGCTCATGGAACTACCAAGTATAGCTTTGAAAAGGGTGGAATTTCTAAGGCAATACAATCAAGCCAAGGTTGAGGCCTTATACCAGTTTGTCTTCCTCGATGAAACTTGGATATTTCAAAATGGGACCATAGGTCGCTCTTGGCAAAATGGAAACCAAAAAAGCGTGAAAGCTATTAAAACAGATGGTAAAAGGTATGTACTTTTACACAATTTGCACTATAAAATTTAAAACTAATATATTTTAGATACATTATATTACATGCTGGAAATGAAAATGGGTTTATTGAGGGTAGTGAAGCGATATTTTCTTCGAAAACAAAATTGAGCGATTACCATGGAGAGATGAACCAGGACAATTTTTTGAAATGGTTTCAACATCAGTTATTAGAAAAATTGGAGAGTCCATCTATGATTATACTGGATAACGCCCCTTATCACAGCATGATATTGAACAAAGTGCCCAACAATGCATGGACAAAAAAAAATATCCAAGACTGGTTGACAAATCAAAACATACCATTTTTAAACACAATGTTTAAAACAGAGCTATTGAGTATTGTTGCTCGGTACATAATGCTTCTTAATTATATATATTTTGGTCGACAGTTTATATTTCTTTTGTTTATTCCTATTCTTAAAATAACTGCTTTTTTAGAAACAAACCACCTAAAATATACGTGATTGATGAATTGGCGGAACAACATGGGCACAAAGTTCTTCGTCTGCCTCCTTACCATTGTATATTTAACCCTATTGAGTTAATTTGGGGCATAGCAAAAGGTTACTATAACAGACATATTGGTAGAGATGGTAACAGTGAAAAATACTGTTTGGATATGTGGAACGAGGCTCTACAAACGGTTACCCCAGACATGTGGAAAAATAGTGTTCGACATACTGAGCAAGAAATTTTTAAATGGTATGAAAGAGAACGAATTTTTGATCGACCAGACATCGAACCTTTAATAATCAACTTTGAGAGTGATGAAGATTCAGATTCAGACAGCGCTAAAGAAAGAAACTCTGACTAACTTTATTGTACAGAAAAAGCTTACACCAGTAGCTTACCTAATTTTAGAATGCATTTTTCTGTATGAATTCTGTAAAATAAATACCATGCATAAAATTTGGAGGACCCCATTTGGATTTTTATTCAGTACCTTTAAGCTATCAATTAAATATGGTAGTTTCATAGTGTCATCTGATCAATAATTGTCGTACTTAATGATTATGCAAGTACAGATCTATAATTTTATTATACTATTATTTTTGTTCTCATTTGAGGTTAATATTGCTTATAAACCTAGATATGTAAATAATAAATTTTATTATTTTACAAAAAGTTTGGCAACAATGTAAATTTTTCAACACACCCACCTTGATGACGTGCACGCCACTTTGTTTGGCGTTGACTATAGTTTCGTATACCTAGTGAACAATTTTGATTTTTTTGACATGAGATTTTTACGTAATATCCCTGCGGGTATCTAATAGACAAATATAATGTGTAATGAATGATCTGCGGAAGGTAGCTTGTACGAGTGACATTATTAACTTTCCTGTCATACTTCTATCAACCTCAGCTTTCTTGGGAGGTTCAACACTGAATGATTTCACTGGATACAAAAACATGATGGAGAAGTACTTTTATCGAATTGCTAATGAATTTTTGTTGAATACAATCGGAACGTGTCACAATGACATCGGTAGATGACAACTTTCAACTCTTAACTGACTAGCGACCGCAGCGTCTAAAAGCATTGAACAATTGGTCAGGCTGCTGTCGCTTTGGTAAGAACCGTGCCTTACAGTGATGCATGAGTTAACTTCTAAGGATTATTAAGTGTGACGCATTTACTGTGTAGAATTAAATCGAGACTATTGAGAAGATTTATGATGAAACTTTTTCCAACACTTATTTATTTGTTCGTTTCTTTATTGCCAGATTCTCAGAACTTAATTTCTACACCACGTGCCATTAGTTCAACAGTATCAACCTGTGGTAGCAGTAGATTGTAAGTGGTATAGCCGGTTAGTTATTGGCGTTTTCAGTATTGAGGTGGCTTGTTCAATATACGAGCGCAAATGATATTCATTGTTTTATGCAAAAGTACACAAAACATGCATTGCAGTCCATCGAGTGCTCATTGCAAAAATTTTCCGGGAAATCAGCTTAGGGCAAAGATCCCATGCGATGCTTCACATAACGCATATGTTGTTGAATTCGTGGGACAACCTGTTTTTGGAAATATACTTTAAGACAATTTTAAAAGTAGCTTTTTCAAACTTTGTTAGCCAGTCACGACGAAAAAACCCCTGACAGTACGAGAAAAGGTGAAGGAGATCACGCAATGTCTGGATCGTCCGATGGTGCCAAAAACCCAGCAGCGTGGTGACTACTGGGTTCTCTACAATTACGTGCGTGCCGATCGCAGACATCACTGCTACGACAGCATCACATATACTACTCACGCTGATTACTCGTTTTTAGACAATCTGGTAAGTACATATTTAGTATAAAAATGTCCAAAATGGTTCATGCACTATTGCGTTTTTATAAACCATTAATGTGCTCGAGTATTGTCAGAAAGTTTTCATCTCCTTCTGTATAGGTGCGGTAGTCCAACGTTCGAGCTCCAGACTTATCTATCCAATGCCCATACCTAGGCAAATATTTATTCGAATAATATTTTGCTTATTAGGGGTTCTGTTGAGGCTAATTAGATGAAATATAATGAATGTTTCTTTGTTTCCATACATATCCATTTGAAATAACATAAAATATACTCCTCTATAGGGGACCATGGGAGGAGAATGATGATGCAAATGAGGTACAGTTTTACATAAATTATAAACTTACATAATAAAGTATATTATAAATACAAAAAATAAAACTTTTTGCACTTATTTTTAGATTGTGGTTTCTGCCTTTAGAATAAAATTTATTACATATTTATCCTATTTTTGTTCCAAATTTTATTCAGAATTAATTGCTCATTAACAGAAAAAAATATCTCTGAAAGTCATGTTTCAATAACTCAACTACTTAAGAGTTCTCCGCGCCTGATGACCTATGGAGGAGACTAGAGACATTTAAAAATTTTGATATTTTAACAAAAATACATTTAAAAAACGAATCGTAATATGGATAATACGAAACGTTCCTTTTCGCTATGTAAGCAAAAGAAAAAACCAGTCTCAAAAGGGCACGAAATAGGGCCAAGACAACAACTTCAAACCACGTTACTCATGTTTCTACTGGTTCTTTCTCTGCAAATCAATGATTTCTTCCATGTCGGTGATGAGACCGATCGACGTCAACTTAAGACGGAATTTTTTGAAAAAATATTGGAAATTGGTAAGCTCTAGGGGACTTTGTGAATTTGAGAGTTAGTAGTGTTTGAAGCTAGGAGTGATATAACTTCAAAGTAAAAGTGAAATGCTTCATTTTCCTCTTCAAATGAACTGTTTCTGCTCAACTGTGTAATACTCGTCGTAACATATACTGTATATACTGCGAGTACAATTACTAGATATAAGGAACATTTACATCCATCAAATCGATATTTAAGGTAATCAAAGTAAGTTTTATCAATTTTATCAATTAATGTTTTTGTAAACAAGAATGTTGACCTCACACGCACCTGGTGAAAAAGAGACTGGTCAATGGTTAAGAGTTTCGGATTTAAATATTACCTTGTATGAAATAATATTGAGTAAGATACTGATAATATCTCTCAAAATAAAAATTATTTTTGCAAACCGCTCGCTTTTTTCTTAAAAAAATAAAGACTGTTTCTCTGAAATTATCATATTATCGTTAATATGATAATATCACCATGAACAGAAATAGATTTAATTTTTTTCGGTGGAATCCGAGCTTCAAACTAAGAAAAATCAACAGATGAAATCTGCTCACAAATGAAGACAGATTTCAATTTATTTTATTTTAAGACAAATCAGTCCCGTGCGGCTGTCTTTACCAACCCGTATCTCAAAAGTTAAGACGTTTAGGACATACGTTCATTAAGTTTGCTTCTTAAAATGGACACAAAAATCGCCTTCTTAAGTAATGACGGTCAATTAGAAAACTCCCTGCATTGAAGGTGTTTGTTTTTATTTTCAGGTGCCCCTACTGGAGCGCTGGCAAGGACCAATTAGTATAGCACTTCACGCTCCTGGCACTGACTTTGAATACACTATAGAATCGATAGCTTACCTCAGAGAATGTACTACGCCCTTAGTGAAGGAGTTTGTTACGTTTCATGTATATTTTAGTACAAAGCATGTTCCTAAAGAGGTAAGTCATAACAATTTTTACATTCACAATTTGTCATATTTCACTTTCGATATGGTTAATTATATGGGCCTTTCAGACGCATGTCAAGCTTTCTTGTCAAGAGTATTTGTACTATGCCCTCAAGATGAAACCTTGATGAATGCTATGAATGAAATTAAACAATTGTCTGTCCAGTTCCTCTGTAGATTGTGACATAGTTTGGTGGAGTATGCTTGAAATAAATGTATAACTAGATTCTCCAAACGGACTAGTGTACCATTTTTTAGTTCCAGGTTTCTTCTTACAGTTTGTTATTGAACCCCAAATGCGCAGATATTTTGCTTCGAAAATTTAAAGCCAAACTGTTGTGTTCTCATATTCTCATAAGATGGTAGTAGTAGTCGAATATTGCATAATAGTCAACCGGCGTGTTACAACAGTTCTGGATGGATTTTCGCATTCTCAGAGTCATTTTGCGCTTTCGGGGCGATGAACGGGGGTGACGCGTCTGGTTCATCCAAAACAATAGATGCCTACCCCCTGGGCTTTGCTGGTTTTGCGCGGTGTCATCTTAAAATTGTAACAATGATGCAAGATACTGTAGAGTAGCAGAAAGAACAAGTGAACTGTCACTTAGAAGACAAATGAATATAAAATATATTGTCTCCGAGCACTTAGAGAGTCAGGACAGGCATTTTCGCGCGACGTGTTTCTGTAAGTGGTGCAAGCCGGAAATGCAGCGTTCGTTACAGCAGAGGTACGCGATTAAATTCTGTGTGAAACTCGGTAAATCTGCGACAGAAACGTTTGATATGATCAAGCAGGCTTACCCAGGTGTTGCTTTAGCAAGAAGTGGTGTGTTTCGGTGGCACCAGGCCTTTTTGGAGGGCCGGTAAGAGGTCGCTGATGAAGACCGTGCTGGAAGACCTTCGACTTCGACAAACACCGATAATGTGACTCGTGTGCGCAAAGTTTTGAACTCAGACCGTCGACTAAGTATTCGTTTAATTGCCCAGATGTTACATTTACTAAAATCTGTGGTTCATGACATTGTGACACAGCATTTGAACATGCGCAAGGTGTGCGCGAAGATGGTCCCAAAAGTGCTCACTGACGATCAGAAATTGCGGCGAGTGGAAGTGTGCCAAGAAAATTTGAACATGTGTGAAAGTGACCCCAATTTTTGAATAACGTAATCCCAGGTGACGAGTCGTGGATCTTTGAGTATGATCCCGAGACAAAGAGGCAATCTTCCGAGTGGCACACGACGGCGTCTCCTCGCCCAGAAAAGGGAAGAATGAGCAAATCCAAAGTGAAAACGATGCTCATTGTCTTTTTTGACATCAAAGGCATCGTCCACCATGAATTTGTTCCTCCTGGAGAAACCGTCAACGCCAAGTTTTACGTGGAAGTGCTCAGGAGACTCAAACGAAGGGTCACTCGGGTCCGACAAGACATCGCAGCCCACTGGAAGTTGCACCACGACAACGCCCCGGCTCACACCGCCTTTCTTGTGAACAGCTACCAAGGCCGGCATCCTAACGCTTCCGCAGCCGCCTTACAGCCCAGATGTGGCCCCCCGGACTTTTTTTGTTTCCTCGCCTGAAAAGGCCGATGAAAGGCAAGCATTTTGAGATGACAGAGGGGATCCAAGCAGCATGCACCGCGGCTCTCAAGGCTATTCCGGAGAATGCCTTCTGTGACGCCTTCAATGCTTGGAAATCGCGCTGGCAGCGCCGCATCGACGCAGAAGGGGCCTATTTTGAAAGTTTTTAAAGAATTGTAACGATTGGCTCAATATTTTTTTTAAATCGACTCAGTCCTATTACTTTCCGGACAAACCCTATATATACTTTGGAAAAGGCCACCGCGGTGTAATTGCATCATTGGCCAGAGAAACATGACTAAATGCTGTGTGTCATAATGGATATTTCATCCTTTGGTATTGATTGTTCCAGGTCCCTAAACATGACGCTTTATTCCAAGAGCCATACAACTGTTCTCAACCCCCGCCGTACTTGAACGTATCTAGTGAAAATATGTATAAAGCCCAGAAGAAGCTATTGTATCCAGTAAACGTGGGCAGAAACGTAGCGCGTGAGTCGGCTCAGACTCACTACGTGCTGCCTTCCGACATCGAACTGTATCCTAGTCCAAACATCATCGAAAAGTTCCTTGAGATGATCGCTCAAAACACGGGTCCGTTGCTCAGCAAGAATCCAAAGGTGAGTTTAATTAAAAACAAATCGGTCCAACCGCTAGCTTTACATGATGCGACGGAAAAGTATCACCCCTCTCCTTTACCTTACCGTCCTCAAGTTTCAGATACTTTCAAATCACCAGCTAGATTTTGTCTCATTCCTGAGTATCTATTACAGTAGAATAACAACTGATTATCTAGTAACACAGTGGACCCGCGGCAATCCGACAAACGTTTTGCAAGGGGATGTCGGATTATAGAGTAAAACCCTCTACTCGTATAGATGGACCATAGCACGGATTTTTTTCAGCAAAAGTGCCTTGTATTCGACAAATTACAAATCAAAGAATCTGTTTACCCTACGAATCCATACTACATAATCATGTATTATGTATAATATGTATGTGGAATTTAGTAAATTAAACATCAGAATGGAGAAATAATACTTTATTATAAAAATAAAGTCATCAGTGCTATAGAACTTGGAAAAAATAGTAACCAAACTTATGTTAAGAAATAATGTTCAAACAAATGTACATCTATACATATTAATGTTTCATAGGATATTACGAATAATCAAAAACTGAAAATACAGTGGATAACATGTACCAATCAATTTATCAAGCATTGAAATATTCATTATTTTTTGTTTGTTTTATGTTGTTTCAGAACGAGAGCAAAGCTTTGCCCCCTAGTCTTCTCAAAAGTAAAAGTTGGTTATAGGAATATATGTCATGACTACTTTTGAAACGTTCTAGCCATCTCTTGCTAGCCACAGTCATTTTTTTTCATATTTCCTCGTAAAAAATTTTAGCTTTCCCACATGTACAAAGCTTCTTCCACCCTTGGATGTTCAGCTTTTTTTAGTGTCAGTTTTTTGCCTGGCTTACAGTCAGTAGTTGACACGATGGTTTTAGTCTTCTCGTGGTTGTTTTTATTGTCATAAATTGTAGATCGAATAGAATATCACTTTTTTCTTAAATTGTCAGTGTTTTGTGCTTTAACTTTTGCACTTGTGAAGACATTCCTAGTTATGTACTGTGAAAGCTCTCTTAACGGGCAGCTCTAATAAGCGACCATCTTCCTTAAGCGGCAAACTTTTTTGGAACCGATTTTAGTTCTATATTTTAACATAGAGAGTACACTCCAATAAGCGGGCACTCTAATAAACGGACGCGGGCAGCAATTTTTGCACATAGGATGAAATAATATCTCCTATAAGCGATCGCGAAGCTTTAATAACTGAGCAAATGAAGTTTAACCATTACTTTAATATGTCCATTCGGTGATTCCCCCCGAGGTTTTGGGGGATTTACAGTATTACCCGATCACAAGTTGGGTTAGAGGCTAGTTGGCAGTTTAGCAGTGTTAGACTTGTTTGTGTTTTAGTGTGCACTTTTAATTTATAATAATATGCCGCCGAAAAAGCGAATGTTGACGCTAAAAGAAAAGATGCAAATTGTGAATGTTATTGATAAGGAAAAATTATGAACTCGGGCATATAGCATTGCGATTTAATATAGAAAATACACAAGCGACGTTGATAGCAAAAAATGAGGATATCCGACGTTTGTTTGGAGTAAATGAACAACAAAAAAGTTTTTGTAGGACTGAACGCTTAAACATCGATAAAGCATGTTTTGAGTGGTATATTAGAGCTAGAAATCGAAGAATACCCATATCTGGGGGGCTTGTAAAAGAAAAAGCAAAGGAAATTGCACAAAAATATGGTTATCAAAAGTTTTGTGCATCCAATGTTAGTTTTAAATGCATTTCTGGTGAAGCGGCCGATGTAAATCAAGAGACAGTGGCATTAAAGTCTGAAAAGTGTTCGGTGGGAAAATTATCGAAAGACAGACTAACCGTATTATTCTGTGCAAGCATGACTGAACAGAAAGAAAAACTGTTAGTGATTGGAAAATCTGCACGCCCTCGGGCATTGAAAAATGTAAACATTAAGGATTTACCTGTTATGTGGAAGTCAAATAAAAAAGCCTGGATGACACGCGAAATAATGGGTGAGTGGTTAGCCGAGTTGGATCGAAAAATGGGCATTAAAAATAGAAAAATTCTACTATTTTTAGATAATGCTGCATCTCATCCTCCAGACTTACATCTAAAAAATGTTAAAATTACCTTTTTGCCTTCAAACACTAGCATGTGCCAGCCACTGGATCAGGGCATCATTAAAAATTTTAAGTTTTATTATCGTAACCAGATTTTAAAACATACTCTATTAAATATGGATGGTGTTAAATCATCCTCCGAATTATACAAAAAAATAATGTTTTGTAGGCATTGTACTTTATAAAAACGGCATGGCAGAATGTTAATCAGACAATAATACAAAATTGTTTCCGAAAAGCTGGGTTCAGAAAAGCTGGGCAAGAGGTTCCCTTATTTTGATCCCGAGGATTACTTGCCATTATCTGTTTTCACAACGATGGTCCAAGCTGCGGATGAGCTTAACATTACCAACGATCAAAATTTAGATGAATATGTTAGCATTGATCAAAACACTCCAACTGAAGAAGATGCTGAGCGTGAACATTTAGTCGTAGGACTAGGTGGTGAATATAATCTAGAAAATGAAACGGATGACGAAATTGAGGAGATTCAAGAAGAGGAAAATAAAGTAAAAAGCTATGATGAAGCCTTAATTTATGTAAAAGAACTGAAAAACTTCGCAAAAGATGACTATGAACAAATAAAAAATTTAGAATGTCATTTTTAGAAATGTCGTGATGATGCAAAGCAAAAAAAAACTTAAGCAGGCGACTATTCTAACATTTTTTCAAACTGTGTAAATAAGTTTTCTGTCCTTTTGTTGTTATTTAAAAAATTTGTTTTCGCATGTCATCAATACGTATGTACGTATTTCATTATACATACATTTATGTAATTATAAATTATAATTTTATATACAATGTGAACATACATGTCTTATAATAAGACTTCATTTAATATATGTAATTATCATATCGTCGTCCATAACACGAAGTGGCGTATCTCATTTTTTCCAATTTTACAGGAGACCGTTTTAAATATCTTCACGAGATTTGAGGTGTTGCTGACAAAAAAGTATTGTTGCTACATAATTGAATTTGTGCTCATGTTAACAAGCTGTTATATTAAAGTGATGAAGAATCAAAACACATGAAATTTAAAGAAAAAAATGTTTTAGTACAATACAAAATAGTTACAAAAATAGTAACAGCGAATATTATGGCGAAATATATACCCGCAGTATCTAAAACTATTTAACTTGCTATACAAGTTAAATATGGCAGCACAAACAAAATACCTACTCAAATAATAATGATATAATAATATGGACAAAATAATAATTAGTATTTCATCTATTACTGATGAGTAAAATTTAAATCGAATCTTCTAAACGAACTACCGGTAGGCATTATATTAGTGAAGATTTGCCGAAAATTTATGTACATTAGGCGCGGGTCCACTGTACTTCGCGAAATTCCCCATATGGACAAATGACGCATAACTGACAATTCTGACGGATCTGAGAACGCCAGGTAGACAGAATGTTTTACACGCAATTTTGACTAGATTTACACGCGATTCATTATTCCCAACGTTACAAACTAATAACAATATGTCACTTGCTGATCACCTATTCACCTCGGTACACTTCAAAACGTGATGGACACTCGGGAAATAGGGTTTAGGTCTTCCTTAGGAGCCCCTAACCTCAAAAATGTTTTTTCGAAGTTATTTTCTAGCTCAATTGTTTTGAATAATCACCAATGTTACATTGTGACATACTACGTAGCCATGTTTTTTTTTGTAGATTTGTGGACAACTAACACATATATGTTAAGTATTAGCCATAGGGAGCGTAAATGGCAGGAGGACGGGTTTGGTGTTACCTGATACCTTAATTACGAAATACCGGTCCTAATGGTGTGCGATTTGACAAATAGGGGGATAGGGAGTTAATTTACGGGTCGAATCTCTTCATCAAAGTATCATCAAGTCAGTGTTCCCATTTATACTATATATGATGACCTGCTGTGACTACTGATAGTAACTTACTGTGTGACATTTGGAGGGTTATTTTGCATTCACCAGCACTAAATCAATATATTTTTAGTATAAAATAAACGATTTTAGAATAAAAAGACAAATCTCGGTCCAAAGTGTTATGCATTCAATATAGTTTATACCTGACATATCTACCGCACCTCGAAAATGTACTATTTATTATAATAATGAATGATGTCCTTAGGTGTTCCCACTCCACATCTTCGAAGTCGGTGCCAACCAGTCGGTCCCAGAGACCAAAACGCAACTGAAAGAGATGCTCGCGACCGGCGTTGCAGTGCCTTTCCATAAGAAGCTGTGCCCGGGCTGTCATGGAGTGCCGAAGGCCAAAGAGTGGCAGATGGCCAACGAAACGAATGGCCTGCACGTGTTTCACGTGGGCAAGAGGAATGGCAGGTTCGTCCATTGGGAGCCGATCTTCATTGGTACGCATGCTGATCCCTTGTACGACGAGAGGCTGAGCTGGGAGGGGAAAAGTGACAAAATGACTCAGGTATGTAAAGAGTAGGTCAATCAATAATTGAAAAGGTTACAAGAAAGAATTATTAATCAGTAAATATTGAACGTTGACATATAAGAGTGACACATTTGCACTTCCTAACAATGTATGTATACCACCTTTTTGTACACTTACTGCGTCCAGTTACTTCTGAATTTTGAACAGAAGTTTTTTCCGTTAATCAAAAATCTCTAAAACAGGAGAAATGTTTTAAAGCCCTTAATTTTGGGAATTTGAAAATCGACAAACAAACTTCTACTCAAGATTCAAAAAGATTGTTACAGGGATAATAATGAGAGTTTTTTTATAAGAATTTAATTTGCCGCTATTATATATAATTTATATACATTTGCAGTAGATTTCATGTATTATAGTATCACTTAAACATTGCTATTTGAACTGTGAGCATCCACCGCTCTCTTTCAGCAACGGAAGTTATCACTATTGCTTCCAACCGTAGGCGTTCAGGCCTCTTCTGCAGATGAATTACTTAGCTACTTACTAACATTTTCTTTCTATCCCTTAGACACCCAGCAACGCTCAAACAAAAAAATACCTTTTCGTATTGAGAAACTATAATTTCTCCCCCATTTCACACAATTCGTTCTTGCACGAAATAACCCTATATCAACTTCATTTCTTACACAAGTCTCGCCTGATACTGTTTCACTACATTTACACATATTAGACAGCAGTTTTTGAAAATATGAGTTGTCCTGTTTCTTTTTATTCTTCCGACTGTTTGCAATAGGTTACTTGACTCATATCTGATCTCATAGAATACTTCTTACAGTATCCGACTTAGGAAAACGAAATATAGCGATTTCAATTTTTAAAAGTGCAAGATGGATATAATTATGATATGTCCGATTTAAAAAAAATATTTTTTTATTTTTACTTTGACGGGATGAAAACGCTATCGACCATGATGTGACTTCGTCGAATTGTCAACAAAGAAACGTCATCCGTATGTCACTCGTAGACTAACGTTGTCTTTAAATATTTCTAAAAAAACTTCTAATCTACGTAAAAAGTTATCAATTTCTCGTTTTATTAAAAAAAAAAACATAATCGTGGAGGTTGGATTCGTAAAAGCAGAAAGCAAAACTTTGCCGAAAATTTTCAAATTGATGGCCTTCAAGCCAGATTTGTCCTCTGCTGAGCTGAGGAACATCTATGTAAGCACAGTGCATCTGAAGATGAGTTGAGTCGATAAATATTTAGTCAGCTTAGCTTGCGAATATTCATTTCCCTGGAAACTCTAATCCACAGCTTTCTTAGGAACTTCACAGTAACGATAATTAATATATTTTTCATGAAAACTAGTAGAAGTTTATATGTTTAAATGTTTTAGAGATTATACTGCTGTCAGCTGCTGTTTACAAATAGTATGGCGTCAGAGCACATTAATATATGAGCCAAACATGGCGGACAGCGTTTTTGGCTGTATAACAAAAATATATTTATATATTAAAGATCTACGGTATTATAGGTCTCAGAAATATATAGTATTTTTTTTGTCTACAAGAACAAATATGAACTATATATTTTAGACCTACTTGAACCAAATTGTCAACTAGCCTGTTAACAACACTGCTATTGACTTTTCAAACAGTGATATAGCTATGCATTTTTAGTACACTTGGTGAAAATCACTTGCTTCAGAAGGCGCTCAAAGCAGGGTACAAAGTCATGTATACTATTTATACCCTCCTGAAACGGTGCAGCGCTTTACGCTGAATAGCCCTGGAATAGCTTTGACAGTTCACAAAATTTGATCAACACACTATCACCTCTGACAAACAAGTGAAAGCTGCTGTCAAACAGAGCAATCACAGAAGCGCTGAACCCCTGGACCACTTTACGTTGGCTGAACGTGCTCCATATCATTCAAATGGCTGCCCTGGCAAGCCTGATAGTACCACATACGGTTAACCAAATTTCAAGTACTTTTTAGATGGTTTGGGCTCTAATTTCTTGAATGGTAACCTTGATTTACCCTTAACAGCTCCTAAAATTTTATGCTGGTCATGGCCATCAGAAAAAGCAGCCGAGAGAAACGTTCTGAAAATATTATGTACTAACGTAACTGCCATACTTCTAAATTTTGATAATATAAAGAAGCATGCTTTTTCTGAATTGTTGGTTTTATTTAACTCATTTAAATTATTTCTTGCCGAAGAAGTCCGCCAAGAGGAGCTGATTTTCATTCAAGATACCAAAAGAATGTAACCATTCATTTCAGGTCAACCTGTGAATGGCAGAGAGTAACAGTTATTTTTTCACAAATCTGAATGGGTTTTATTCTCCATGTCAGGAAATTATTCACATTCCGAGAACAGTGAATGGAAAAACGTATTACGTCACAGCTTTGGCAAGAATTTTTTTGTTTGGGCTTTGGAGGGCAGGTTTTGTTACTTTGTTCCAAAAAAAAAATTAAATACTCAGAATAAAATTTTTGGGGGCCAAATACTGAATTTCCTTTGGAATAAAACTTACCATACATCGATTGTAAGCCAACATTATAGATCACTAGCAGTATATTATTGATAAAGCTCAATGCATTCTGGGACTGATATCAGGAACATCTAAGGAACTTAAGGGACTTGAATTCTGTGGTCAAGCTTTTTGCCTCGTCAGTAGGATCGTTATTGGAATACAGGTCAACCATCTAGAGCTCATCTTATCGGATTCATAAAAAACGCATTGAAGAAACACAAGCTTTTATGGCATTTACGTTATAGAATGGGGCAAGAAAATGAACATCTAGAGATTGGGTCCATTGTTTGCGTGACTGGATTGTTTTTGCTTGACGATAATTAGTTATTTATTATTCAAGGGAAAATTTACGAAACCGCGTATTCAATATCCGGGAAAAAGGTACTGATTTTTTTCCCGGGGAAAAAAGTAATTTCATAATAAGTGACATTCTGTTACCTGTCAACAGAGATAATATGTCAAACTTTTTTCTCGTCACAGAAAAATAGTTATTTATTCTACAAGGGAAAAAGTACTAGACGCTGCGCGTCGGGAGACAATACAACCTCAAGCTAAAATCTAGTATTTTTTCTGTGACGGGAAAAACGACGATTTAATATTGAAAAATTATATTATTACAATACTTAAGTGAGAAAATTAAAGATGTGAAATTTGAATTTTGAAATTAGTAGGTTATGTTGCACTTATAGCGACAATTAGACCTGCGTTGCTAAGGACACTTTTAGAGTAATCGCAAACGATATTTGGGGCTAGTCATTTTTTAACCTCAGTTGGACTTCTAGAATTTATCCTATTATTGCTCCTTAAATGCATTGTGTTCTATCTGGTCAAGGCCAGCTTGAAAAAAAAACATGTAAATTGCTCATAAATCCTCAGAAAGTCAATATTTTTTTATGTGAGAACAAAATAAGTACGTGGCATTTATAATTAACTAGTGTAATAATATTAAATATTCAAACATAAAAAACTAAATTCTTTTGTTAACCGACAAAAAATAAATAAAACATTCTGTGGGACCCCGAGACATATCCCAGTCCATTCCACACAAAACAATGACTTTGATTGCGAAAACGAACACGTATGGACGCTAGACAAGACAAAGAAGGATGTCTGTAGACCATCTATGGATCGTGTCTTGAGACCGTCTCCAGACTGCCTATAGATAAACTGCGCAACGGGGGTCTACTAGTCTGTAATAAGCTTAAGGATTAAGACTCTGAACTGCCCATTAAACAAATCAAGTAAATGGTGCAAATACTGACACAATCAAGCACTTCTATCATATCAGCAGGTGATAAAAATATCAATAGGTATAGCCAATTATTATTTCTTTTTTATACCGAAGCAGCCGCGCAGCCTAAATGCCGGCCGGAACACCACGGCTGCTATGATGATCCCAAAGAAATTTTGTTAACCCGAGGCTAGTAGAATTGGGAAAAGCTTCCTCTTGTAGATTTTTCCAGAATCTCGATACCCTCGGGACAAAGGATCGGTCGTATCGGCCAGTTCTGGATGTACGAAGTTCGACACGGTTAGGATGGGAGGCCAAAGTCAGGCGGGGCACCTCGCGCGGCGGCATCATGGAAGAGAGCTCTGAGGAGCAAAGCCCGTTGGTGTAGCGGTAGAAGAGAACTAGATCCCCGGTGCGAAAGGACCCGGGCCTGTCCGTTAGAGAAGAGTCATCAACCAGTCGGACAGCATAAACAATGTAGTCGGGGCGGCAGCACCCCAAACGTGTGATCAATACTCGAGGCTAGCAGTGGCGTAGCCTGGGTCATTGCCGCCCGGGGCGGAATCATAATTTGCCGCCCCTTTGACGTCAAAAAATAATCATGTTGGTGAAGGTGAAAAAAAAAATAACGTAATCATCTGGAAGAACAGTGCGAAAAAATATTTATTTCCAAACCATATAATATACAGGTCACGTGTAAACTGTGAACGTGAAAAGTATACTGTTGTAAACTATAAAACTAAAATTCTACTTTTCTGGCCTTACGCGCAGCAAAATCATTAATAACTTCTTCAAAATTAATTTTTCCGTCACGCTTTGTTCTATTGACAAAATGGCCAAATCACTCAATCTTATTGAACTCATGGTGGACCGCAAGTAATTTTTTATTAATTTCAGCTTCGAGAAGCTACGTTCACAAGAAGCTACACTGATAGCTATAGTTAAAAAAATTCGAAGCATAATCACGATATTTGGCACGCAAATGCCATAGTTATATTGTTGTATGAATTCTAGGAGCTCTAGCGGTCCTTTCTTGGCGTCAACTTGAACTTTAGCATCAGCCAAAGCAAGAAAATTGCGTAATCGCTCCCTCTCGATTTCGATTTCGTTAACATCAATGTCACAGTGCTCATTTCCCAAGTTACACTTATATTCCGGGTTAAGTAAGTTCGTCGGTATTAGAAAATTATACTTGATATCTAACTCGTTTAGCTGTTGAAATCTTGTCTTAATTTCTTGTATAATTCTGTCCACCGATTCGAAC